CCCTAAACCCGAAAACCCTGAACCGCAGAGAAGCTCTTGGCCCACAACCCTGCAACCTGTCTAAAACCAAGGTCTCACTAAGCGCGTAGCCATTTAAACCCGAAACCCTAGGCTGGTTTGGTTCAGTGACCCCCCTTATGAACCCCTTCAAGCATTATAAATCGTCAGGATTCCGCGTGGAAACCCTACAAACCCCCATCAACACCATAGGGGCCTAAGTAATTACGTATACTATTGTGGGGGGTTCCTCATAATAAATATACTCTAAGGGACCCCAAAACCCTATTCAAATTATTAAGGCCTCTATATTATGTAAACCCCTACACCCTAAAGCCTAAAACCCTAAACCCTAAAAACCTAAACCCTAAACCCCTAAACCCCTAAACCCCTAAACCCCTGAACCCTAAACCTCCACAATGCCGGGCTTCCCTTGGCTGGCGCTGGTTTCCGCCGCGCTGGCAGAGTTGCAGGACGCCGATCGGGCCTTGCTCCTCCGAAGCAGAAACTTAGGGGCCGAGTTTAGGGTTTAGGGTTTAGGGTTTAGGGTTTTAGGGTTTAGGGTTTAGGGTTTAGGGTTTAGGATTTAGGGTTTAGTGTTTAGTGTTTAGGGTGTGAGGTTTAGCAGTCCCGTGGGCTTCCCGGAAGGATGTCAGAATGCAAGGCCAACCATAAGACCTTAATTTAGATAGTAGGGACGCTGCTTTGAGGCAGGCAAGCTATGTGGGTAGTTCTCTAAATTAGGCTCTCTTTTGGTGTCCTTTTTATAAGGGTGCCGTACTATGTTGCGGTCCTAAAAAGGGACCCTGCTTTAGAGAACTACCCATGTGTTGGGTCCGGAGTGTAGAGCCTGACATGTTAGAACAGTCTTGACTGGGATTTCCAAGCATGTTCGAATAAGATCCTCGCAAAAAACCCTTGGTTTCAGAGCGCTAATATTGGGATGTTGGGATTCCTACTATTAACCTGATTCAGGGAGCCCCCTAAACCCTAAACCCTAAACCCTAAAGGGGTCTGCATTATACAGGCTTGTTGCTCCGGCTCCTGTCTTGCAGTTCTCCTTGCGTTCTCTAGCATCGGGCAAAGGTTGTCAATGTATGTGATGGAAACCATACACCCACCCGTACTATTTGGGGGGGTCCTTATGATAATCATAGTGTATCATACAAAAAACCCCGTTCTTATTATTAAGCCCCCTATATTAACTCGGACCCAAGCGGAAGAGACGCCTTCCGCTTGCTGACAAGCGCAATTGTCCTTATCGTCCGCCCTGCACTCTTCCACCTACCACCACTGAAACTCACCGCTAATGTCATCATCTTCAACTCCATTTTCGCCACCACCATCCTGATCGACGGCTAAACCCTAAACCCTAAACCCTTAAACCCTTAAACCTAAACCCTAAACCCTGATCATCTTTCTCAAAGCTTGCGTCTCTGAAGACGCTGCCTTTGCCCTACTGTCTGGTGCTGAGTAGGGAATGGGGGAATGGATCTCTATGATAGTCCCTTAAGGTCCCTTATGGTAGTCCCTATAGCCCATTCACCCTAAACTCATTCACCTTAAACCCATTCACCCTAAACCCTAAACCCTTCTAGTAGTCCCTATAACCCTAAACCCTAAACCCTAAAGGCCCCTTGTCCCTATAGCCCATTCCAACATTCCATACTAAGCAGACAGCCTAGGCTCAAGGAGCTACGGCAGCTCTCGGACCTTCGCCGCCCCTGGCCTTGGCCAAAGGGGGACCCGGCGCCCTGGCTCTAGGTCTGAACCTATCGTATAGGTATCATAAGAAACCCAAACCCAGACCACCGGGGGATCCAAAAAATAGATTCCCTAAGGGGTTCCTATAAAGTACCCCTTAGTAGTTGGGGTCCCAAATTAGGGATCTACTTTTTGGATCCTTTCGGTGGTGTGGGTAGGTATCATAAGAAACCCAAAGGAGTAGTATTGGTAATGATTTAGGCGTCCATAGTAAGCTCATTGTCTAGGACATTTTCAGGTGGGTAGTCACCGTTCTAGGAGCCTTATAAAAGGCCTATAAACCTTGTGGAAGCCTTATAAAAGCCCTATACACCCTAAACCCCCCACTGTAGTTTCCTTTAACTGAAGATCTCCAGCCCTAGGAGTTTTGGCTCTCAGGGCTGAAGATCCTAAATTTATTAAACCTAAACCCTAACGGTGGGGCGAAGGGTCATGAGACCTTGGGAATTTGTTTCGTCGGGCTCTTCTTGACTAAAATTTCGGTTGATGCGTTGGGCAGGACGTCCTACTACCTACCACTGCCCCTCCTCCTCCTCCTCTAACTCCCCTTATAGCGCTACTATCACCACCATTACCGACGCTGCTGCTGCTGCTGCTGCTGCTGCTGCTGCTGCTGCTGCTGCTGCTGCTGCTGCTGCTGCTGCTGCTGCTGCTGCTGCTGCTGCTGCTGCTGCTTCTGCTACTACGACTGCTACCACCACCACCACCGCCACGACTATTTCCGAAGTTGAGCTTCTCTTTTCTCGATCTGCTTGCACTTGCAAACCAGAAACTGCACACGGACATTATGATCGGTTGACCACAGTTAGTGGCCGGGAGAAGCGAGGAAAGTAGCCGCCGGCATAAGAATGCTAAGAGTAGTCTAGTGAACGTATCGACATCTAGCATCCCAGACGCCACAGTCCTAGTCGCCACGGCAACAAAGGCACCTGATGAGTAAGCCCATGCGACTCTGCAGCTGTAAGCCTCAACAAACACCCTGTCCAATGTCAGGTCCATACGCCCGGAGAAGAGGCACCGGAAGGGTGGAAAGAGTATAGTCTGTCATATGGGATCGGGGTCTCCACAACATATCATATTCGGAAATCCCAAACCCCAAAGATCATTGAAATCCCTTTTTTGATTTCTAGCCCGTCTGCCATGCTAAGAGGCTTGTGCGCGCAAGTATCTCAAATCCGGAACCTGCTCCAAGAAATGGCGAAGTAAGGCCCCTGCGTGAGAGTTCATGCGAGTCACCATAGTGCAAAGACTTCGGAGGACGAACATACGGAGGTCAAGAAGAATCTGGATTCAGAACCCCGCTCAGCACCCGGAATTCGGAACTAGTTGCCCAGAGACTCCAATATCCCTTAATTAAGGAATTTACCTTAAATCATGTTCAGGATCCTGCTATAATTTGAGGAGTGTTCCTTAATTAAGGCATCTTGGAGTCTCTGGGTGCCATCCTTGGAGCCCAAAGCCATCCAGAGCTTGGAGCAGCCCTTAGAAGGTCCTAAAAGGACAATTCCCCCAAGCCCCAGAAGACCCCCCAAACCCTAACAGCACTCGAAGCATCTTAAAGCCTACACCCTACACATTAAAGCCCACATTCTAAACATGACTGTCTGGTGCTTAGTAGGGAATGGGGGACTACCATAAGGGACCTTGAGGGACTATCATAGGGATCCATTCCCCCATTCCCTAGCACCAGACAGATGAAGCCTAAATCCTTCCAGGACTGGCTCGACCTGGAGCAACTTTGGAAGCGCGGGGAGGGAAGGCACCTGCAAAGCAACAGGCAAGCCGGGGTGCAGCGCTGCGGAGTTCCTGTAAGAGCCGTAACAAGCAGACTCGGACCAGGATTCCTTTATAAGGGTTGCTATGCAGGGGTATTGAAAGGTCTCAATATGGGAGCCTCAGATAATGTTCAGCAGGGCTCTGGGGTATATTGGTCCACTAACCCGTAACCATTCGCATAGGGTTCCTTCAGCGGGTTCCGATACGGGTCTTAATGTAGGAGCCTTTAAGCCTTAGAAAGACTCTTCCATACTTAAAGGATCATGGGACTTAGTAAGTAGGGTTATAACTAAGGTAACTGTAATTATAACCCCAATTAGGGGACTTATAACCATACTTACTAAGTCCCATGATCCTCCAAGTAAGGTTCCTTATTCTAGCGATACGACCTCAAGCCTAATATCGGAGCCTTAGTAAGTAGACAAGGTTTGTCGGGTAGTATAGGGACCCGATTAAGAAACCCTGGGTCTTTATGAGGGTTCTTTGTATGAACCCTAGTACATTGGTGTTACAGGGTCAGGGATTCTTCATCCGGTTCTTAACATTAGGCTATACTGTAAAAAAATGGTAAGGGATACTATTGGTCATCATTTCCACCCCTAAATCAAGCTGAAACTCCTACGGTTCAGGGTGTAAGGTTTGGGGGTCATGGCTTTAGGGTTTGGGGTGCAACGAACTTGCATATAATGCCACAAATACTGTTGATGATTTATATCCTGCATTACCTTAAGGACCCTAAACTATGGAATTATGGTATATCCCTTATTATGGGCACTGCAGGATTTAAATCATCAACCGTACGACCCTAAATCCTTCAGCTTCAAAGAACCCAACAAACTTCCCAGACCCCGGGAGGATCTAGAAAGTAGATCCCTTAAAGGGGTCCCTATGAAGTACCCTTTAGTAGTTAGGGTCCCAAGTTTAGGGGATCTACTTCTTTGACCCTAAACCCTAAACCCTAAACCCTAAACCGGTTCGGGGTGTCGTCGAGCAGAAGAGGAGCCGAACTGCAGCGCGGGCTCGGCACGTCCACGCCCTGGAGTGGCCCGGGATCTCAGCGAGCACTGACCCAGACCACCGAAAAAATCTAAAAAGTAGATCCCCTAATTTGGGACCCCAACTACTAAAGGGTACTTTATAGGAACCTGTTAGGGGATCCTGGCAAGAAAGAAAACAGATGGGTTTAATATAGGGGCCTTAAGAATTAGAATAGGGTTTAGGGGCATATTATACTATAGCTATAATAAGGAACCCCCAAAACCCTATTCTAACTATTAAGGCCCCTGCATTAGGGTTTAAGGTTTCGGGAGCCTTCGTAATATGGAGGTCGGAATAGTTGGTGATCGTATTCCCCAGAAGGGCTGTTACAAGGGCTCAGCTTACCATAAACTGCCATGGCAAGTAAAGCACACTGCTTACTTTATATTCATATATATATATATATACACTGCGGCTACCTGTTAGCTTAAGGTAAGTTCCTTAACAAGCACCCCGGGTCTTGAGTCTGAGAATGCGGAGGTTATCAAGCCTAGGATTTCAGGCTTCCAGGTGTCTTTATAAGCGTCTTTGCAGGGCTTCAGAGGGGAGCCCAGGGTCCCGGGACCAACGCACTTTCAAGCTGACCGGAATTGTTGGTCATCTTGACGGTAGCTTACAGAAACTCCGGCATGTGGGGATGTGTATTTTTGTAAAGTCTCTACAACAGAGGCCATAAAGTTGGAACATCATCATCCTCATGGCCTCAAGGTAAAGTAGAAGGGATCCTAGCACAAATCATCCTAAACCCATGTGGGTAGTTGTCAAAATTAGGGTAGATTTTTGGGTCCTTATTACAATACGGCACCTATTATTTAGGGTACCCCAAAAGGGACCATAAGTTTGACAACTTGACAACTACCCATGTTCCAACTTTCTGGGCTTGGCTGTACGACACTACGAGCACTCTGGATCCTACAGTCCGGCAACCTCTCACAGCGAGGAAAGTGTCCGAAAATAGGGGGCCTTAATAAAACTAGAATAGGGTGTAGGGTTTAGGGTTTAGGGTTTCGGGTTATAATTTTTATAACCGAAAATAGGGGCCTTAATAAAACTAGAATAGGGTCTTGGGGCCCTTTATGCTAGATTTATAATGAGGAGCCCCGCAAAACCCAAATTCTAATTATGAAGGCCCCTATAGAAGCAGACGTCATGTTCTTTGGGCCTTGACGAAAGCTCGCAGGTTTTCGATTCGTTTCTAAGGCTTCAGGGCTGGGTTCAGGGTTTTGGGGTTTAGGGCGTAAGGGGTTCCTTATTACAAGTACTATGGTAAAACCCCTATTCTAATTAAGGCCTCTACATTAGTTTTGGGGTTTAGGGCTTATGGGTTCTTTATTGTAACTATAGTGTGGCCCAAAATCCTGTTCTTATTGTTAAGGCCCCTAGATTAGTGGTTCCTTGTTATAATCATAGTATAGCCCAAAACCCTATTCTAAATATTAAGGCCCCTATAGTAGGGGTTCAGGGTTGTTGTGTGTGCGTTTGGGTTTTGGAGTTTTAGGGGCTTTTGCGATGACGTTTTGTTTTGCGGTTTGGAGTGAGGAGCTTTCGATTTTTCGATGAAGTGTTGGTATGTGTATCTATCTTTATGTATATATATATATATACAAATATATATATATATATATATATGTATAGGCTACGACTGTTGCGCAAAGCAGTATGATGTCTTGTTCTGCCAGGATTGCCATGATTAGGCTTAGGGTTGAGATGGTGCTCTTCTCATCACTCTGCCGTTGGTCAAAACAGAGCAGCACTTATCGTTCATTATGAGGTGATTGCACTCCGTTCCTGACTTGTTGTCCTGTAGACATGTTCGGTTCCACAGGCTTGTGCGCGTCCACTGGGACCACCCACGACGGCAGGAGCTGTCCGCGGCTTGGCAGTGAAGCAAGGGATGCTGCTCTGTAGAGGGTTCAAAATCCAAGAAGAAGTCCATGGCCGAGTGCACCAAGTACACAGTCACGTCCATAAGCCTCAAGCAAGCGCTCGACCCTGCCTAAAGCCGGCTGGCTTCAGAAGGTGAGCGAAAAAGCGCTCACGTGAAATCGATTCGCAGGATGCTTCGATGTCGGGCCTCCACGAGTCGTAGCTGTGCCTAGGCCACGCGCATCGTGCTGCATGAATGCCAGAACTCCCGTTCCATCTCACATGCTTCAGGGTTTATGTCGTCGCAAGTACTAGAAGAGTCATCGTTAGGGTACCCAGGACGCCCTCGGAGAACGGCTGCTGACGCCTCTCCACCTGGCACCCCATCGCAAACAATGGACCGAGGTGCTGAATGACGCTTGGCAGTCAAACTCTGCAAGAAAGGCTTCATCTTGAATTCAGGGTTCCGTTTTTTGCCGTGTTCAAGACTTTAGTATGGTTCTGAATGTGCGCTAGTTGGTTCCTTACTTCGAATAAGGATTGTGCGATTTCGAGTCTTCATGGGGTCTCTTGGTTTCCGAACTCCCACCTGTTGTTGCGTGTTCGCATACATGCACATGTGAATGTAAACCCTCCTGTGCGCAACAGAAACTGTCGAACTCTCGTTTTTTGGAAAGCTCATGTGCCTCTACCCCTCTAAACCCTAAACCCTAAACCCTACACCCTAAACCCCGAACTTTAAAGATGGAAGGCTGGTCACAGGTACAGGCATGCTAGCTAGAGATGTAGTAAGCACCACATCCCAAACCCTAACTGGAGTTGTAGTGAACCCTAAACCCCAAACCCTGCCTTACTTAAAGACCCTGGACCCTTCACGATCCCAAGCCCAAAAGCCCTGAACCCTTAAAGTTTTGGGGGTCCCTTCAAGGCCCTAAAGCCTAAATCCATCAAGAGCCCCCTAAACCCTAAACCCCAAATCCATCAAAAGCCTAACTCCAAAAAGATCGGAAGGAACAGCTGCCTCCCTAGACCCTAAACCCTAACTCCAAAAAATTGGAAGGAACAGCCCTTAACCCTAAACCCACTGACTCCAGAAGAATTGGAAGGAACAGCCCTAAACCCTAAGCCCACTAACTCCAGAAAAATCGGAAGGAACAGCCCTAGACCCTAAACCCTAAGCCCACTAACTCCAAAAAATTGGAAGGAACAGCCCTAAACCCTAAACCCTAAACCCACTAACTCCAAAAAATTGGAAGGAACAGCCCCAAACCCTAAACCCACTAACTCCAGAAAAATTTGAAGGAACAGCCCTAAACCCTAAACCCTAAGCCCACTAACTCCAAAAAATCGGAAGGAACAGCCCTCAACCCACTAACTCCAAAAAGATCGGAAGGAACAACCCTCAACCCACGAATTCCAAAAAATTGGAAGGAACAGCTTGCCTCCGTTCCAGTGCTGGACGCGGTGGACCTCATACCATGGCCAGGCTGTCTGAGACGTTGGGGGGGTTTAGGGTTTAGGGTTTAGGGTTTATTGTTCAGGGGTTTAGGGTTTATTGTTCAGGGGTTTAGGGTTTAGGGTTTATTGTTCAGGGGTTTAGGGTTTAGGGTTTATTGTTTAGGGGTTTAGGGGTTTCCTTGAACGTTTTGGGTAAGTCGAATATAGGGGCGTAAATACTTACAGTACCTATTATTCCTCTTATTCTGTTTATGGTATAATGGGGCCCAAAACCCTATTCTGCTTCCCCTTCAAGGCAAATTCCTTCCTACAGGGGCCTTAATAATTACCTATACTATTTTTGGGTGTTCTTTATTATAAGAATAGTATAATGGGCGCCTAAACCCTAAACCCTAAACCCTAAACCCCTAAACCCTAAACCCTAAACCCCTAAACCCTAAACCCTAAACCCCTAAACCCAAAGGATTTAGGGTGTAGGGTTTTGGGGAAGTCTACAGGGCTTGATGTTGGTGCCTTAATAAGTAGAATAGGGTTTTGGGGGTTTAGGGTTTAGAGGTTTAGGGTTGAGGGGTTTCGGGTTTAGGGTTTGGGGTTTAGGGTTGGGGGGCGGGGCTTAATGTTGGTGCCTTAATAAGTAGAATAGGGTTTTGGGGGTTCCTTTGAAGGGCTCGATAAGGGCTACTATCAGGGTTTTAGGGTGTAGGGGCCTTAACAAAATTAGAATAGGGTTGTGGGGGTTCCTTTAAAGGGCTCCTGAAAAGGTTCTATAAGGGCTACTATAAGGGTTTTAGGGTTTAGGGGCTTAGCTGAACGTTTTGGGTAAGTCTAATGTAGGGGCCTCAACAGTTACCTATTAGTCTAACTATAGTATAATTGGATTCAAAACCCTAGTCTAGTTATTAAGGCCCCTATATTACATAACGTTAGAAGTAAGCTTTTAAGTAGCTGGGCTTCATTAGAATTGCAGGGTGAATGGCCGGTGTTCTAATTCATTTGTCCTAACGAGAACAAACACTAGGAAGTCTCTGTGTCGCCAGCTAGCCTGCGCAAACTTGAGGGCAACACGATCTTCCGCCCAAAGAATTTCAACAGCAGCTGTGTCTCGTTTCATGTTTTTCGAGCCGATGCGATACCAACGTCAGACCAGTTCTTCCATGATGTAAGCAACCGGGGTAGCCTTGCGAAGTCTGATGGCAGCAGAAACCTTCCACCTTTCAGGTATTCGCTCTGCCATCCGATGGCTCGAGGGCAATTTTTCCGTGGCCTGGCACAGTCTCATGCGAGGCATAGCAAGACAATTCGGCGAGCGAACTCCTGCAAGTCAGAGTACCTCGGGGCAACGACACGAATGTTCTGCCACATGTCCTCGCGACCTTGTGTTATCCTGAAGCTGAGGGGTTTGCCGATCGATGTCTCAGAAAAGTTCTACGCGTAGGCAGCGTGAAGAGATTTCTCCAGCCGTGCTTTTCTGGAGGACGTGATCCTGCCCGCCTTTCAAGAAGCTAGCGCCCACCAACGCTTCGTTGAACACGAGGAAGGCTGGGCAACAAGCGAAAGCATCTTGTTGTTTCAACTGCCGTTACTGTCACCATGCCATTATGCATAACATTCAGTTTCTATTGACTTGTATTCCACACACTGAGCCCTGAAGCACGAACCCACCGAAAAAGGCTGCCTCAGCCATAGTGGCATTCCAGCCACAGACCCTGTCAAAGGAGAAGAGGTGTCAAAAAGAAAGCAATCAATCCTCGGTGGGGTCACGCTCCTCCTTGTTTGATTGGAAGCTGTTCTTTCTGTTGGAGTCGGCTTAGGGTTGAGGCTTTACTTAAAGGATCATGGGACTTAGTAAGCAGGGTTATAACTAAGGTAACTATACTTATAACCCCAATTAGGGGACTTATAACCATACTTACGAAGTCCCATGATCCTCCAAGTATCCTAAACCCTAAAGCAGACGTTGACGAACTTTAAAGATGTTTAGGGTTTAGGGTTTAGGGTTGAGGCTTAAGGGTTTAGGGCCCTGTCTGTCGCAGAACTCTGAAGGTCTTCACGTGACGGGCTACTGGGAGACTGCGCACATCGCGCGGCCGAAGTGCAAGGCTTCTACGCCTCTCACGACACCTAGGTGACGATAGAACTTCTCAACCCTAAACCCTAAACCCTAAGCCCCTAAGCCCCTAAACCCCTAAACCCTAAACCCCCGTTTGTGGGTTTTGAGGGTTCTTAGGGCCTTCAGGTTTTGAGCGTTGACAGCTTGAAGTTATGAAGGTCTCACGGTAGCTGCGGATCCTCCGGGCTTCGCTAAAGGTGAAGGCTACGTACTCTGTGGATGAAAGACCCGGGTGTTCCTTTCGAGATGAGGCACCTACCAGATTCGTATCTGCACCGGACCTTCCGAAGCAGCAGGAGTCGTATCACCACAAGTTTGAGTCATAGTATCATAGATACTTGTTCATAAGTGCCGGCAGTTTGCAACATGATCCTGAAGTCCTGGCCAGATGTCAGATGTCCGAGAAGCTGCATTGTCGTCTCGACCCATGCCAATGTAGGATTCCTTAATAGTTAGAATAGGGTTTCGGGGTATACTATACCATAATCATAAGAAGGAACCCCCCAAAATAGGCTCCTAGATTACAGCCGCCCGGACAAGCTTCAACCCGGCACTGAATCCTGAGTCTCTCAACCCTAAACCCCTGAACCCATGAGCCGGAAACCTTTGAACCGTGAAGCCCTGAACACCAAGCTCACCTTAGCCCGATTCCAGGCGGATCTGTATCCCAAGTTCTGCAAGCTGCTTAAGGTGGGATGCTTCCTGCAGTTGGGCGGTTCTGAGTGTAGGATTCGGGGGTTTTGCGGTTCCGCATGGGATCCTTCTTGTTTGGACTTTCTAGAAGTGGGTAGTTCCCTAAATTACGGTCCCCAATATGGCACGGCACCCTTATAAAAGGGACCCTAAAACGGGACCCTAATTTAGAGAACTACCCAAGTGGTCACAGCTACCCTCATGAGGCCATCTACAGGGCCCTGCCAGTGCGGCATGGCATCCAGGAGGCCGGGGCAAACGCTTTCATGTGACCTTTTCGAGGTTTATCTAGGGGCCTGAATAATTAGAGTAGGGTCTTGGGGCTCATTATACTATAGTTATAATAAGGACCCCGCAAAACCCTATTCTAATTATTAAGGCCCTTATATTATGGTTCCTTCAGAAGCTTCCTCTTCAAGGCAAAGGCCTTCCTCTGCAGGTACTGACCTCAAAGCCTTGCGCTGTGCTTGTTTGCCCCTGTCCAACCACCAGCCTCAATCCTCCTCAGTACCCCTACCACCGGGAGGATCTAAAAAATAGATCCCCTAATTGGGGACCCTAACTACTAAAGGGTACTTTATAGGAACCTTTAAGGGGATCTATTTTTTGGATCCTCCCGGTGGTCTGGGTATGTGGGGTCTGAGAAGGGGCCTCTGATGTATAACAGCTTCTCGTGACGTCGGACAGCAAAGATCGCGCGTCTTCCAGCATACCTCTGATCAAGGAACAGTCATACCAGA